GAATGAGAATGAAACATATAGTTGTTATTGGGGTCACAAAAGATATAGAAAATTTGAATTTAAATATTGATGTGATGGATAATAGTCATATTTTTCACTTTAATGAGATAATAATATAGATCAAATGGGGGCTTAATTGATAATTAATTAGACTGATTCCCACTTTAGACTTACAGATTCCACATTGACACTTTTAACGGAAATTTCCAATAAATGTACCACGCAATATTTAGTTCTTATTCGGGGTGTGTTTGAGTCACATTATTTTGAGAGAATGTATTTTGAAATAATAGATTGATAGAGAATGTGTGGTTGAAAAAAAAAAGAAAAGTTATTGATGTGATATAAAATATTATTTTATTGAAAAATGTATGGTTGAAAATGAGTAGAAAAATAAAAATAAAAATGAGAATGAGAATGAGAATGTGTCTCAAACATAAACTCAATGTTTATTTTTTGAACAAGTAATTTGTTTTAAGAAAATGTAATTAAAAAGCACTAAAAAGTTATAGTTTCACGTGCAAATTTATTTTATTGAGATAATGGTGGTGTTTAAAAAATAAAAATCAAACGAGGACTTAAAATATTGAGAAATTGGAACAAATGGTCCCAAATCTTTGCCCACGAGGCATAAATGATTCAACCCTTTAAAAGTGATGCCAATGGTCCCAAACCTTTTCATTTTTCAACCAAATTGTCCTTTTGCACCAATTCCATCCAAAATGGCAGTTAATTTGTTGCAAATTATTCAATTTTGTCCTTATTTAAAGGGGCAAATTTGTCAAATCAAAATTCAAATAAGTAAAACAATTAAAAAAAAAAAATCATCTTCCCCTTTCCCCTTCCCACCCCCAAACCCACAGCTCAAGCACCCCCACCAATGCTGATATTGCGATAAGGAGAAGTTGTGGTATGAAAAGCAGAAGTAGATGATTGAAGTATGTGTAGTCGTTCGATACAACCGTTTTTTGAAAGGTCAATTGAACATGGAAGCTTAACTAAAAATAGGTTTCTATTGATACTTTGAGTCAAATACTTTGTTTTCATTCCTTTCCTAATCTACTCAATTTGATTTTTCTATCGCCTTCTTTGATATTATAGTGTTCTTCGCTCCATTACATGAATTTGAGAAATTCAACAACTAAAGGAAACAAATTCTTCCTGCTTGAAAGTTGAAACCAAAATTACTATAACCAAAAAATGAAGACTTTGGAACGGAGACTCAATTTCAAGTAGTAGAAAAAATAAAATTCAATTAAATAAAAAATAGAAGAAACCCAATTGAAAATCGCCATTTGGATGGAATCCATCCAAAATGATCATTTTCATCAAAATGAAAATATTTGTGATCATCTGCGTCACTTTGGAAATGTTTGGACCAATTACGAAAAATGGACAAAGGTTTGGAACCATTTGTGTGAATTCTCTTAGATATTTCATATGTTGAGTTTGCATATTTGACCAAGATGATAAGAAGAAAATGATTTTAAGATAAATATTTAAAAAATGCGGGTAATACGAAATAATAAGAAGCCATAAGTATAAAAATAATTGAAAAATAATGTGGTGAGTTGTTTCATCGGAAGATTTATGAGAAAACTTCTTTATTTTTTGATTAAATTGTGTAAAATGATGAATCACATAGTTATGATATATTGAATTTTAAGTACTACGTACCTTTTTTATATAATCGAATTATGGCGTTATGTAAGAAAAGTGGAATCTATAAGTCCGAAGTTTAGGCCCTGTTCTCTTTCCCGTTTTCAACCCGTTTTCTGTTTTCAATTTTTCGAAACGGCGAAAACGCGTTCTCTTTTCCATTTCTGAAAACAAGTTTTCGAAAACGGCTAATTTTTTTCAAAGAAAATGGAAAACGAGGTTTTCCACGTTTTCAGAATTTTCAACCAAAACACGGCCAAAAACGCCAAAACGCGGTACTGTTCAGAAACAAGTGAAATCGGCTGGAACCCTATTCCTCTTACCCATCGTCTTCCACATTGCCCTTTCTTCCTCACGCCGTTTCCAAAATCGACCAGCTCCCACTGCAGCCTCTCCAGCTTCACGTGCGAAATCAGGTT